TTTTTTTTTTTTTTGCAGATTAATCATTAGCATGAAAACTTTTCTTAGTTCTATTTCTTGATTCTTTTTTTTACTCATTGGCACCAATATATTGCCACCACTTACATCAAGCATTTCAAGTTTCCAACTGCTCTATGTTTGTGTTGGTAGCCTCTCTCTTCTTGAATAACATATAAGCTTTGGTGTTGCTATGTAGTACCCGGTTAGTCAGGGAAATAAATTGTGTGATTTCTACAAAATTTATATTTTGAACAATCCAGTGAGCATCAGAACCCATGAAATAGGTCTGCATCGCAAATATAGAAGTTGAAGCATAATCTGATTTTAGTAAAATATTTTCTTTGGACGAGTAAACGAAAATTCACTAATATTTTCATGATTGTATTTCTTTGTCTCTATGTAGATAATTTGAAACTCCCTGTCACACGGTGATGAAATGGTCGCGTATTATCATTGAAGCTTTGATGGTGTTAGCAGATACACATATGAGCTTGATAAATATATCAATGGGCAGTTGATGAACAAAATATCTAATGAGATGTCTTTAGAGGTTGACTCTCTAAATTAAAGATTCAACGAGTTTGAGACAATTATTCAAAAACTGGTCATTTCTGAGAATTTTGTGATGAAGTGTAGGGCGAGTGATAGAAAAAGAATTGTCACGCTATGTTCTTAAGCTGGTTGTCCACGGAAAGTGCGAGTTTCAGCTTGGGCGGATGAGCAAACATTTGAAATAGGGAAAATCGAAGGCTTATATTCGTGCCAAGGTGTGAATAGTGTTGGTAACAAACAAGCAACGTCCATATGGGTGGCTAATGAAATACAAGATATAGCGAAAAACTTATCCAATTATGACCAAAACAAATCAATTCTGCTTTGAAAAATAAGTACGGGTCAACACTATCATATATTAAGTTATGGAAATCCAGGCAGCTGCACGGGGATCAAATATTTGGAGTAGTTGATGATAGTTTCAATTGTGTACCTACACTGTACGCTGAGCTTATTAAAAGGAACTTGGTTTCTCACATTACTTTTGATTACAATGACACTGATTAGGCGTTTGAGAGAATTACATCACTTTTTAGGGTGTGGATTGATGGGTTCCTAGCTAGTTGAAGACATCTCGTGGGGCTAGATGCATATCATTTAAAATTCAAATATTTAGGAGTGTTACTTTCAGCCAATGCCTTGGATAAGAATAATTGATTTTTTACAATTGCATTTACACTTGTTGAGCTTGAGTCGAAGAAATATTGGGAATGATTTTTGAGGCATTTAGCTTTATTTTTTGAGCTTGAAGTTGAGCCATTAAAATTTATCTCAGATAAGGAAAGGGGGTTCGTTGAGGCACTTAGGGGTGCATTTCCTAATGATGAGCATAGGGTTTTCAATTGTCATTTGTGGAAAAATATTTAAAAATATCACCATTTTCATGATAGCAAGCCAATTCGACACACTGTTTAGTTCGATGCAAATGCATATATTTTAATACGACACACTGTTTGGTTCGCTGCAAATGCATATATTTTAATAAAAAGTTTCAGGGAAGTTGAAGTTTAGCCAGGGAAGTGTTGTATTAGTTTCCGCAACTGAGAACTACATACGAAAATTAACTACAAAAAAGATAAGTTCATTATCAGAAATTCAACAACCTTAAAGGTCGAGGTCGAGAGAGATAAAAAACGACATGAAGTTGATATCTAACAAAAAGAGTGCTCTTACCTTTTGTTTATTTATCTGTTTGAAAATTATCTACACAAATTAGTTGTCAATATTATAGTAGATAAATTAAATGACATAATTGGCCACTAATAAAGTTGTTTTGATGCCTCATTTTTTTTCTTATCACTGGCAGGCAACATTGGTTTATTTCACGATTGGATAGTGCTTTTGTTACCACCGGAGGTTTTCCTCCAAGCAATAGAATGTGCTAGCAAACTCCTTAAAAGTTTCACTAAATATATAGTGATTGTAATTTCTTTTTTCTTGCAGGGCTATGTGCTTGATTGACTTTGGGATTCAAATTCATCGAGACGACAAGTTAAATGTTAACCAAAATCAATTGTTGGATAAGCTAGTTATCTCAAACAGCGCACAGATGAATAAAAAGAAAAAAAAGATCAACAAAAAAATTTGCATAAGAAAAGGAACTTTGAGTTTTCTGCATTCAAAGAGCCTGTTTTATTTGTTTGCTATCTATGAAAAAATTATGTATATGTATTAAAAAGGCATTGGGTGGATGTAGTGAAGAACATCGATGTGTCGATTCATAGAAATATATATGGAACCTGATTATATATATTTTTGCATGAATCACTTTCAAAAATTAAAACTTCTGTCGGGGTGGATGAGATGAATCCAAAGAAAGAAGAAACTGAAGCATATAAAGGATGAGGAGACGGGAGCCATAGAAGCGGTGAACGAAGCAAATGGCAAAGAAGCAGTTCCAAATAAAACTTCTAAGATGAAAATGGAACATCGAAAATCAGGAAAAGGCAATGTCGAAAGAGTGATCAATTTGTAATTTTTATATCTTTTTTTATGTTTGTTTTTTGTTTCCAGATGGTCTTAATTGTATTGTATCCCGAGAAATTATGATTCCCTATTGTTTCTGATTTGAGGTTTTTTTGTGTTCTAGTGTTTGTAATTCATCATTTGAGATTTATCTTATCGTTTTTTTTTTCTTCGGGGCTCATATTTTTTTGTGTACTTTTAACATCGAAGCTTTTATTTGAAATATAAATGATGTTTTGAGCAATCGATATTAAAGTAGCCTCGACTCATTGTTATAATCAGCAATAGTGAACATTTCTTCTCCTTCCTGATCTAGCAGTGAATTTATAATTTGTTGGAGAAGTTGAAGAATTGAGATAAGAGAGTGTTCGTTTTGTAATGAGTAGACTTTAAGGTTTATGTACTAAAGAACATTACTTTTTTGTAGACGAATTTATGATTTGGGCTGTAAATACTACAGTTTTGTGTCAGATATATACCAAAAATACAGTCTCTTAAAAATGATAACCATAAATACTGCCGAACAGTAAAAATGAGGACTAAAAATCCTACAGAATCTTAGATCCCGTTTCTCTTCCTTCTTTCCTTAACTCTCAGATTTTGGAGAAATTGCAAAGTTGCGCGAAGAGGGGTGGGAGAAAGGGGGGAGAAAGATAGGAGTTTTGATGGTCTTTTTATGCTGCATCCAAAAAGTTGTCTTCTAGGAAGCTGTAGCAGCAACTGCTAACTCCGATAGTGGCAAAAGGGTAAGAAGAAGAGGAGTTTCGAAGGACTTTCGGACGCAACAATCCAAAAGCTTTTTAGCAAGCCATTGCAGCGACTGCCTACTCCGACAATGGCGGAAGGGAAAGAATAAGAGAAAGATGAGAGTGTCGTGGAGGTAGCGACCCGAGCGAATAAACATACTATGGAGACAGCGGCCTGAAGAATAAGTGTGTCGTGGAGACGATGGCCGAAAAGATTAGGCGTGACATGGAAACAACAGTCCAAGAGAATGAGTGTTCAGAGAAGTCAGCGACCCAAAAGGGTGGGCATGTCATGAATAGAGCGGACTACAGCAGCCTAACAGATGGGTGTGTCATGCGGACAATGACCTGAGAGGGTGGGCGTGTCGTGGAGGCAGCAACCCGAAGAATGGGTGTGTCATGAAAACAATGATTCAAAAAAGTCCCAAAAGTTGTGTATGTTGTGAAGGAAGTGACCCGAAAGAATAGACGTGTCGTGGAGACAGCAGCCCAAAAGATTAGTATATCGTGAAGTCAGTGATCTGATAGACGTGTCGTAGAGGCAACGACCCAAAAAATGAGTGTGTCATGCAGACAGTGACTCGAAAAGATGAGCGTGTCGTGGAAGCAGAGACCCAAAGATCGCGTATGTCGTGAAGGAAGTGACCCGAAAGAATAGACGTGTTGTGGAGGCAGCGGCCTGAATGGTGAGTATATCGTGAAGGTGGTGACATGAAAGAATGGGTATGTCACGGAGCTAGTGACCGAATGAATGAGTGTGTCATGGAGGGGATGTGTCATGGAGACAGTGACACGAAAAAATGGGTATGTCATGGAGCTAGTGACCGAATGAATGGATGTGTCATGGAGACAGTGACACGAAAAAATGGGTATGTCATGGAGCTAGTGACCGAATGAATGGATGTGTCATGGAGACAGTGACACGAAAAAATGGGTATGTCATGGAGCTAGTGACCGAATGAATGGATGTGTCATGGAGACAGTGACCTCAAAAGGTGGGCGCGCGTATCGTGGAGGCAGCGGCCCGAATAATGGATATGTAGTGGAGGTAGTAACCTGAAAATGATGATGATTCTCATTGAGGAAAATCATATAAATGGGGTGTGTGTATGAATGGACACTCAAAATACAACTCAGGTATGTGATAATTATTATGTAAGATCTCATACAAGACACGTAGCAAGAGAAGTATCGTGTTCGGTCACCTAGGGTATAGGACACCATTGAGGAGAATTACACATTGTCCCAATAAAAACCAAACACATATGCAAATGATAAGCACATATAGGGTATAGTGCACAATGCAAGAAAGCAATCAAACACTAATGCACACGCGAAATATACACTACGCAAGTGATAGGTCGACCGAGGCAAGAAACCAATTGGATCAAAGGGTCGGCCGATCGAACTAAAGTGATCGGTCAACCTTGACGAGGCAGCCAGTCGGACCAAAGTAGTCAGTCGACTAGGCCGAGGCGACGGATCAAGGCAATGTGCTAAGCTAACCGGGTCGGGACTGCCGATCAAGGCAAAAAGTGATCTCGACTGGGCTAGAGACAAAAAGTGACTGAAGCTGTCAGTCAAGGCAAAAGTGATGCTGATCGGATCGGGGCAACCAGTCTAGGCAGAAAGTGATATCGATTTGGCAAGAGCAGTCAATCGAGGCAAAAGTGTGATGCATGAAATGCAACAATATATGGTGCAAATGATCCAAACAACAGTGAGTCATATTCATGCTAACGATCTCATATAGACGCCTAAGGTTTTAGCTATTGGATGTGCGAAATAACCGTCTACTGCTTAGACAAGGCATATTGGGAGCTTCACCTTCGGATCTCATAAAATGAAAATTTTCACGACATTGTGGAATGAGTTAGCTATAAAGTTTTTTACATTTCACAACTCCTCATGATTTTGCAACAAAACTTTTCTCTTATTGCAAAATCCAAACATCTCAACCCCTCCAAGGAAGATTGGGGAAAGTCAAAGCAAAGGGTAATTGACATTTCAACCCACTAGGATTTATGTATAGGGTCGCAAAAGGAGATCGCTCCGCTCAGCATAGGATTTGACCACATATGGGATTCCTAACATAGGGCTTCCTCTAGAAAATCAACAGTCAATCCAATGAAGTGTGATCGCGCCGACTAGTGTCAGTCTGTCAACTCGTCCCGTGTGGGCAACCGGACCCACAACGTCTAGCCTAAACTAATCCTAGGGCTAGCTAAGAAAGAAAAACACAGGAATTGAAGAGGTTATACCGTGGCGATGGTTACTTGATGTCCGGCGAAGCCCGAGAAGAAACTCTACCCAAAAAGAGAGAGGAGACACCCACTTTTTTCTTCCAAGAATGAAGAAGCTCTCCCCGCAAGGAGATTCCAACGAACGTCACGAATTCACCAGCGGTAGATGTCCGTACCGCGCGCCGAAGTATCTCGCGAGAGCTTTGTTAGGGGGGGAGCCCGATCTGGGAGGAGGCTGCGCTGTGAGCACGGCCGCCAAAAAGTGACGTCGGCGGCGGTCCGG